AATTGTTTTCTTCATAATTTTATTGAGAAACAAATAGCAATGAGACAGTTTCAAATCAAATTGGTAGGACAGTTTCAATAATTAACACATTGCATACTCTCTTCCTAGTGGTTATTTGCTGTACAAGATGCAGACATTATATTCTATTTACAAACACTATTAGAACAAATCCCTCTATTCATTAATTGAATGTAACTATATATCTATCCTAACCATTTTGAATACACAGATACAAAATGGACATTCATCTGTGTTCCCTTTTTTTGTTTAGTTCCGTCATTTGAATATTATAGGTGTTTGAACTCAACCTTAAATTTATTTTAAAAGGTCAAAAATTGCTGTGTTTCTAGATCAACACAAAGACTTCGTTAACTACCAATAAAAGTAACGTCACTATGTAGAAATCAAACAAGACAGGAAGTTTATTAATCATATTAATAATTCTATGTTGTACACTTATAAAACATCCTAAAAATTAGAATCCTACATTTCTATGTAAGCGGCTGTATAAACACTTAAAAAGCAACCTAAGGGAAAAAAATATTTCAGAAGACAAAAAATTAGTTCAGGGCCGACCAGATAGCTCAGCAGACTAAAGCGCCTGCTTAGGCAGAGCACAGCAGCCGGGGTTCAATCCCCGACATGCTGTGCTGGCCCTGCGTGCTGAGAGAGCGATTGAGACGGGTCTTGGTGGCGCATGTCTGTAATCCCAGCGCTTGTGTGGCTGAAAACAGAAGAATCACTCCAAGTCTGATCTACGTAGTGAGACCCTGTAGATCCTGCACTAAATACAGAAAAAAAATTAATTCACTACTGGATTATCTTAGTGAAATGTTAACAACTTCAAAAATACTACAATTACATGATTGATTGCATGATAACATGACAATAAAGCTAATGAGCTGGGCATGGCGACCCATGCCTACAATTCCAGCAAAGGAGGCTGAGACAGGTGCGTCACTGTGAATTTGAGTGATCAAAAGAAAAAAAAAAAATCAAAAAACCCCAATGAACTTGTGAGATCCACATATAAACAATCTATGGTTGTAAAACATCCAATGAATTATAATTTATCATATTTTCATGTGAGCTCTTATACCTCATAGTACCAAAACTGAAGGAGAAAAATCATAATCATTCTAGTAGAAGAAAAGTATGTGGTTGAGGTAGTTTTTTTGCTGTTGTAACTTCAGATAGGATCCCTCTTGGTCAGGGACTTTTCACATTTTATTTTTATATTTCATCTCTACAAGTTGTTAGTATATAATAATGACATTCACCATGGGCAGTTGGTACATGTCCATAACGAATCATAATTTTTTTTCATCTTTTACCTCTGCCCTTGGTCTGCCTCCTTTTGCAAAACATCTATCTATTTTCTACTTCTAGCTTTAATTTATTTGTATTTTAGGTTTCTTGAATAAGAGAAACCATCTGATATTTAAGTTCATGTGTCTGATTTATTTCACTTAACATGGTCAGGATGCATATCTATTTTCCTACAAATGAACCAAATTTATTCATCTTCATGGTTGAATTGTGCTCCCATGTGTGTAAGTGCATTTTCTTGGTCCATTTACCTGTTGACGGACACATAGGTTGCTTCTAACATTTAGCTACTGGGTTGTGCTGCTACGAACAGGCATGCATATGTGGCTGTAATATGATGTCTTTAATACTTTCGGGAAGACACAAGGGGACCAGCTGGGTTGAACGGAACTTGTTCTTAGATTTTTGAGAAATTTCCATACTGGTTTACATAGTGGTTGTACTAATCTACATTCTCACCAACAATACATGAAAATTCTTGTTGCTTCACTGGTATTAGTTATGATTTGACTTCTTGATGACAGCCATTCTTTCTGGAATAATATGAAATATTAGTGTTTTAATTTGTATTTCTCCAATAGCCAGAGATGTTGAATATTTTTTATGTGTATCGTCCACTTGTACTACTTTTGAAAAACTGATTGCATGATTGATTGCCTCATCTCTACAGGGTCTACAGGGTCTCACTACGTAGATCAGACTCAGTGATTCTCCTGCTTTCAGCCTCCCAAGCACTGGGATTACAGGTGCACACCACCATGCCCAGTCTCAATTGCTGTCTCAGTGCACCCCGGGATGGGGCTGGCTTGGCGTGCCAGGGATCAAACCCCGGCCACTGCGCTCTGCCTAAGCAGGCATTTTAGTCTGCTAAGCTATCTGGCCAACCCTTTTTTTTTTTTAAATTTATTTGGTATGTCTCACTATGCAGCTTAGCTTTGTGGTGATCTCCTATGTCAGCCTCCCCAGTGCTGGGATTGCAGGAATGCACCACGCTGCCAGGTTTCGGTGACCAGCACGATGCATCTGTGGCTCCAGGGCCAGCAGGGCATGCAGTCTGGGGACTGGACCCAGGCCTTGCACTTGCCGGGCAGGTGCTCAGACCGCCAATCTCTCTCCCCATCCCCAGCTGCCTATCTCTTGATTGGGTCTTTTGTTTTTGGGAATCTAATTTTTTGGCTTCTTTATATATTACAGGTGGTAGTCCTCGGTCTAAGGAATAGCTGGCAATTTTTTGTTCATTCTGTGCATTGTCTCCTCACTCTGTGGATTGTTTCCTTTGCTGTGCAGAAGATTTTTGTTTATTTTATTTTGTTTTATTGAGAAATATCAATGAGACAGTTTCAGAGCTGATTAATAGGACATTTTCAATAGTTAATACATTGTACATTGTTATCTTCTTAGTGGTTATCCATAGTACAAGAAGCAGACAGGATATCCTGTCCAAACACTATTACTACCAATCTTTCTTCTCACTGAATTAAGTGAAAGTAGCTGCATATCTATCCTAACTATTCTGTATATACAAATACAAAATGGTCCTTCCTTTGTATTCCCCTCTTTTTTTTGTTTAGTCCTGTCAGAGGTAGGTATTCTATAGGCATCTAAATATTATAGGTGCTTGAATTCAGCAAAACAATCCAACATAGTCCAGCAGTCCACAATAGTAGTGGGTTATCCACAGAAGTTGTTGACTATAGTCTTTTACAGCTCGATATATTAATATGATTTTACTTTATATACCTTGTTTTTATACTTTTCTGCTGGATGGTTAAGACCAAGATAAAGCAAGAACTATATAACAAGAAATGTAACGTTTGTATCTGATGAGGTCAGTCAAGTCCCCTCAGGAT